CCTCCCGCCCCCCCCCGGGGATAAAACAGCGCCCGAAGCCGCCGGGGCGGCAGCGGCGGCGTGCGCTGCTCTGGGCTCTCGGATTTACAGCGCCGCGGACAAGGGCGCGCCGAGGGGCGCTGCCCGCAAGCCCCAGCTGTGCGCCGCAGCCGTGGGGCCCGGGGATGGTCTCTGACAAGATGCACGAAGAAATTGGGTTTTGCCCCTTACCGTTATTATTATTTTTCTTTACCATGTTATGTTGTCTCCTGCGAGGAGTCTTCCTGACATGCTAACGTCAGGGGGGTAGTTTCCAAACTCCTGACTAAACTAAATTTGCTGGTCGGATTTTTATAGAGCTAGTCTCTGTGTGCCTTCGGTTCAAGCTCTCCGGCAGCTGGTCCCCTGCGAGCCCGGCTGGCACGGTTTAACCCAGTCCTACGCCCGTCTCCGAAGGACGCGCTCACGGCGATGCGCTTGACTCGGCAGCGTCGCTACGCTCCATCTGCGCGCTTAGAAACATCTCCTGTCTAATCCTGCTGATTAGCTATCTCCAGAGCACAGCTGGCCTGGCCGTCCAGCCACAGTCACGGTTAAGTTGTAGCCACTATGATATCCACGGTATCCCTCCCAGAAGTTTAGCTCCTATCAGTAAATTGTGTCCTAGAACGACCAGCGAGGAGCATAACGTCAGCCTTTTTCTGCAGAACGCTACCTGACTTCCGAGCGGTCTCTGGGCGGTTGGCCCACTGTCTCTGGACTGCCTTTGAGGTGCTGTCTCGGCCTCCCCTTTGCAGGCTTGTCCCGCGATGGCAACGAGGCACCTGAGTCGTGGGCGGCTGCCGAGCGCGGGGCTGCAGACTGAGGTTGCCCCCACCGGAGACGGTAGCTCATGCACGGGGCTGGCAGAGGCGCGGTGCAGGCCCCCTAAACCCTGTGGCTTAGCGCGGCAGGACGGAGGGGCATGGTGACCATCTCGGGAAGGCAAGAAGTGCCCTTGCCTTTCCTGCGTGATACCAGAACGAATGAGCGGGTGGGCTGGTTCGCATCGAGGGGCTGCCACCACCTAGCCCAGTGCCTCCAGCAGGGACCCCAAGCTGATGCCTAAGGAAGATTAGAAATGGGTGAAAGTGTGTATGGTGTTTCCTCTTAATGCTCTCCCAGCCTCTAAGTTCACCCCAGGACATTTTTGTCTGTCTAGGAACCTCCACGGGTTTCTCTTCCACGTGCATGTTCCAGGCTGTGCATTGTGTGAAGAACACCTCCAGCTCCTTTGCTTTGAACCTGCATCTCACAAGCTTTAGTCGATGGGCCCTAGTCCGCTGCTGGAAGAGGCCATGAGCAGCTGGTCACTATTTATCCTCTCCAAGGCACATAGGAGTTCTAAAATCATGATTTTATAGACAGCTGCTGTTATTTGCTATAGGAAATACAGTATCTTGCTCTGAAAATGAGTAACTTATGGTTACCAGGATCAATTAGTGTAAAAATATAAAACGAAGCATAAAAATAATAATTAAAGTAAAAGAATATCACTTTACGTTAAGGATGTGTTGACTCTTCTTGGGTGTGCTGGATGAGACAATTATTTTGAACCTTTTAGAAACTAGAAGGCAATATTTAGAATACAGCTGAAATCCGTTACACTTGCAAAGGGATCCGGATGGATCCTGGGGGAGTGCTTAACCGAAGTAGTAGTTTTGGGGGAAAATGACTAGGATTCTGCTTGTCAGCTAAATCCGCTAGCTATTTTAAAGTAAAAAGCTCCTGCCTTTGCTGATGTTTGGCTTGTCACGCTTGCCTGACTGATGGAGAATGGTTTAACTTCTTTGTTGCCGACTGTTCTGTCACTGGCGCTTTCCGTTGTTGTGTTTCGTTCCCCGCTCGTGTACCGCTGGTTGTGACTCGCGCGCTGTTTGCCGGGGTCCTGGAGAAGGGGAGCGCGGCCAGGGCCTTGCCGTCCCGTCCGGTCCCGTCCCGTCCGGCTCCTCTGAGACGTGCGCCCTGAGCCAAGTGAAGTCTCACGCGCGATCTTTCGCAGTAAGCGTTTGTATGTGTACGTTTAACAGGCTTTTATGCTGTGTCAATGGGTTTGTGCTTGTTATGTTAATGAACGCTTGTTTTCTAGTCAATTACTTTATATTTTAGGATGACACATCCTTCCTGCGCCAATTAAACCTGAGGCAAAGTGTTGGTGCCAAGGAACCCAACACAATTCCCATCCTAATGGGGATGATTTGCATCCCTGCTCGCAGCCCTCAGCTCGGGCCATGCCCTTTCGGCTGGAAACCTTGGCACCTAGCAGGGTTGGGCAGGCAGGTGCTACTATAGTTACCTAGTAAACACAAATGGGACTTAGCTCTAATAAATCAGAAATACTGTGAAATCATTCAGTTAGGTTAAAGGAGTGCTATAGCATCATTCTTTCACAGGGAGAATGAGAATGTAGACTGAAAAAGGAGTAAGTGCTTGTTTTTCCCCCTTCATCCTCTCTGCTTAGAGTTCTAACGTAACTGCTGACGTGGGCTGTCGGCACATGCCAGTCCCCCGCTTCTGAGCGCCTCCCAGCTCCTAGAGAGCTGTCTTGGCTTGCTCTGAGAGCAAGTCTTTTCCCGCCGAAGCAAAAGGGATCCAGTGCCTGGAGCAGGGAAGACGGAGCCGGCGCTTCTGCGCGCCGTTCCCGGTGCTGCTCGGAGCACCTTGAAGCAAGGCAGCAGCAGCATTCACCTGTCTTACGGGAAGAGCTAGTTCAATAAGAGATCCCGGGAAGGAAAATAGGTATAACTATGTAGAAACGCGGCAAGAGCGGTCTTTATGCCGGCATAGCATCCAATAATAAATGGTAAAAAGAAATACAGAAAATAATAAAAATATGAACAAAGATCAAAATATTAGAAGAGGCAGTGTCATGAGGAGCTTCTTTTGGAGGGTTTCTTGTGTTGTTGGTGGCGTTTTGCTGATGCTCTTAGGGTAATACTTAGAAACTGCCTTCTGCTTTTCAAGGCTGTAGCAGTGCAGCATCAACTTTTCACTTATTTTTTGCTTGTTGGCACAGTTTAGCTCTTCAGAAATGACTTTGTGCTATTCAAAGCCAGCCGCTCCTTGGCTCCGGTGGCGGTGCTTCTGCCTGCAGTGCTCTCTGGCGTGGGGGGCCGGACCAGGGAGGCAGGGCAGCGCCTGGGTTTGGGGTGAGGTGCCTGGGAATGGGCGCTGAGTCCGCGAGAGGCAGCAGCGTGCCGTTCGCTGTGGCGGTCGCAACTGCCGCCAGCCCCGCGCAAGCGTTCGGGTTGATGCACTTCATTGCCAAGCGCTTGAAAACTTGTTGCTGGGAATCAGCAGGGGTTTTACATGGCGTTTTGGAAGGGTTTTACTGAGATCCAGGGGATCCTTAGCTTTGTCAGACTAGTCAGCATGTGTTTCTGCTTCAAAAAAGACTTTTTTTTTTTTTTCCTCCTATCTGACCCATCCCGCGCGAGTGCGGGATCCCACCGGGTAGTTTGACTGCTCCCTCCCGCTGCTCTCAACCCTGTGAGATGCCGCCTGCTCGCCGGCGTGCTGCTGCGGGGCCGAGGACAGACGACGGCATCGCCTGGCAGGTGCAGGACGGAAATGCCAGCGCGCCCAGGGAAGGTCGGGGAGGGGTCCCGGGTCCTTTCCCCTCTGAGCCGCTCTAGGCGGGGAAAGGACCTTTTATCTTTCCTTACGGAGGGGAAAGTCAATGCGTGCAATGGCAGTTGTGAAGGTCTGGCTGGGGGAAGAGCGCAGCGGCGCCGTGAAGCCCGCGGCAGAGCCGGGAGCAGGGAGGTGGTCAGGGGAAACTGCACGGCCAAAGCCAGAAAAGCAGTTAAAGATCGTTGCCTTTCTTCGGAGCGGTCGTGTCCCAGGCCGGACTAACGGCGCTAGGCTGTGTTCGCACTGGCACGAGGGCCCGG